CTCCAGTTCACTGATATCTGCCTTTAAAGAGGAACACAGAAAACACCCCTTATTCATTGTTTGCCTCATGTCAGGGGAATGTAAGAGGCTGTTAAATGTCTTAGCAGGGCCAGAATAACAGTATGTGTTTTCCCAGGAGCAGGTAATCCTTTAACAGCCACCTATGAGTGTGTTGTGATGATCGTATCCTGACATACACCCTTCTATATGATCCTCATACTTTGTTTAATTTCATTAACTCTCATAGATACAGCATGTTTCACTGTAGCCTCGTCACGTGGCACCTGTTTTTATGAGCCCAGACGGATGAAAACACCCTGATATTGCCTCATGTGTCTGTAATGCATTGCTTCATGTCTCTGTTTTGGTGTGCTTCAGTTACATTTGATAAAACGGGGCTATTTAGTGAATCACTTCCATTTGTTGTCGCCTGCTGCACACACACGCGCACACACACACACACACACACACACACACACACACACACACACACACAGTCCACCTAACCACACTTATTTCCATAAAATGTAAAACTCTGTTTAAATTTTATTTCTACCACTTTTTTGTTTCTTATAACAATTTTTTGGCAGGTGGTTTTATACAGTACATTCCTCTGTCTTGAGTGTAACTAGCTTGTTATTCTTTGGGAATCCTGATTGCTGGAGGGCACAAAAAAATACACTGGCAAAAAAGATGCTATTCAAGTCTAAAGAAACTCAAAGGCGTCCTAAAGCCTGTTGCCTAAAGCCTAAACTGTTGTCTCTGATTCTTAGCTCACATCCTGTTCTGATTATTTTTGTCAAACGTTTAAGTCCTTAGCTGTCCCACATCTGCTTGTGCTGACTTTACAGCACGTTGACCCTTCAGAAAATATCCTCTGGAAATGTCATGTTGACTCAGTGTGTCACTGAAAGATAACCAGTCTGAGCTCTGAGTCAGTTTTCTTCGGAAATGGAAGTCACCAAAACACTACAGCTGAAATCACAGGGCAGCTCACAGTGCAAGACTGTGACATTATTCATTCATATTTTAACAGAGTTCATTCTGCTGTACACAATACATAGCAAAACATTTAAACATCACATAATAATGTGTGTAAGTAAGGAGAGAAAGGAAAATGTGCATTATCCTGTTTGGCAGAAATAAAGTGCACCAAACTGCATATAAGCTGAGCCTTATTAATGGATGCGCAGCACTATGAAGAGGAGCACTAGGGCTGGCAAGATATTTGATTTTTACTACATGATTATTGTGGCAAAAATAGTTCATGATAACGATATTATCGCGATATCTATAGAAACGTTGAAATAAATGAATCACACTTAAAACAGGAGTGTAGGGAGGTGGAGAGTGAGTCTATCTGTACTAAAGCATGAAAAAAGAAGAATAGCACTTAATGGATGGTAAATAAGACTAGATGGCGAGAATGGAAAGAAACAGAAATTATTTAAGAGGTGCTGGATTACTACTTACATGATATTATCCTGTATTATCAGTATTTTATTTTCAAAAATCATGGTTAATGATACAGTCAATACAAGTATATTACGTGCACCATTATGTAAACATTTTGGTGAATGCACTTATTCCATTTCTTGCAGAGTCAGAAAAATGATACAACTTGTATCCAAATTTGATGCTGCATCCAGCAGTTTGCATCGCTTTGTTCAATGGTAACAAAATTTGCCTACCACCTCACAACTTAACATTTTAACAAGGGTTAAAAACTAGCGGAAAAAAAACTTGGCTTTGGGGCCAACAGTGATATTGATCCTATGGGGAATACAAAAAATCAGATAATAGTAATTTCTATTTAACATAAACTAGCAATCTTGATTCGGAGCCCTTCAGTTTATTATTTATTAATCTACACCTGTGACCATAGGCTGTATACTAAAGATGAAGGACATGACAGCTCCTCATAAGTAAAGCTTCAACATGTCTATCGCCCCCTGGTGGCTGGCTGCAGAATACGTCATAAACCTCAGGGACATGGGCCAAATTAAAAGATCAAAGTACACATCAAATAATTTTTTCCCAAAGATGGTTTTTGTCATTTTAGGTAGTTCTTATCATGCTAATGTATGTTCAAGGGTTCGCTTTTATGATGTATTTGGTTTTAATTGCTTACGGTATATGAAAAGGGGATGTGACATCATGATTGACAGCTGTGATTGACTCTCGATTGGGCCAAGCGGTTTTATGGACAGCAACTGGATACTTCAGCTCCACATCCTGATCCCTACTGTGCAGACTTTGGTTTCAAGTGACATCACCAGCGCAAGATGGCGGTGACCGTACCTTGGATATTTTGGAGACGTGTTGCTCATCTTTGTATACAGTCTATGATTGTGATTAATATGCATATTGAGCACAAGATTTTTTTTTTTTTAAATCCACTTGTCAGCGCTTTCTGGTTGACAAACCAGTGTGTAATGGAGGCTCTGTTCCTAAGTGACCTCAAACCTCAAAGCTTCTGACTTGAAAAGAGGGTGAATATTTATATATTTTAAGGGTTTTCAGAGTCACACAATGTGGGCTCCCCGCAGACAAAATGGAGACAACTGTGCCCTACCCACACACACGCTCACACACACCACCCACATCGTAAACAGGAACTGTCATTTGCCATGGGGTCAGTGAGTTTGCTGTTGGCTACAACTTGAGTCCTGTTTTTTTGACAGAAAATTAATCTAAAAAAATGGACGTTTTTCACTATTTTCTGATGTTTTATAGAGCAGATGAATAATTTAAAGAGAAATGATTAACTAATAATGAAAATAAACGACAGTTGAATACTTAACAGACTGAAAACCTCTGGTATAGTTTGTTGTGTGTTTCGGCCCTTGGAACTGGAATAATATTGCATGTGTACCTGTGTGTCTTGAAGATATCGACCACATAAGGATAGGTAATTTTACCCCATTTGTCTTCTATACAGACATGTGTCCACTACCACTTTAGCTGAGTGGCAGTGAGGAAGCCCCTTTGCTTCACTTGGGATTCACTCCTTTCCAAGTGCTAATCCTACACCACCCCACGTCCTCCACATTACTCCTCCTAAGCCGCCTGCACTATAAATAATTTGTTTGAAAGAAATGCAACCTCTTGGATGTGTGCGGCCTCCTTCATACTCCTCTTCATTTTCCATCCCTCCTCTCCTCGGTGACTGGCATCTCTGCCTCTTAGGCATTTGGAAATATAAGCTTTGGCTGGTTTAGAAGCTGCTTTTGATAAGTAGTAAAGGTGTTTATGACAACATAAACTGAAGTGACTGGCAGTTGGCGACCATTTAGAAAACACCACAGTTGTAACACAGCCTATTATGTTTAAGTACAACCCACAGTGGGGAATCTTTCACCAGGAAATTGCAGGTTTGGTAAATTGTGGTGTCTTTGTCATTTAGCAACAGCTTGCCGAATTGCTAGTGAATGTTAAGATGTTAACCTGCTGAATGGTGATCAGAAATGTTAGTGTCTTCTTGATGTTTGCTTGTTGTTTTTGTTTGTGACCGTCAGTCCTCCACTAATATACTGTAAGTGCTCTCCTGGCCTAGTGTGCTTTGTGTTAATATTGATGGTGGGAAACACAGGTAAGGTTACTAGAGAGACATAAGCTACACGTGCCTCATGCATATTGCAAACTCTGAATGACCTCCTAATTTTAGATTCGGATGACATAGTGTGGTGGGGTGGAGGGAGATGTTCTCTATCTCTGGAGACGGGTAGCGTTTCTCTCCACTGCCAAATATGATAAGAGATGAAAGCACAGGATATGAATTATATGGAATCCATGTAAATCATCTGTGGTACTGAAAATCCATTAAAAACAAATTTCCACAGATTCCACTTCAGTAAGACGATTGTACATCTATATGATAGAAAGAACAGTTGATAAAGTAGTGCAGGTATTATTTATAACATGAACTATCTTAGCATCATACAGACTTGCGTTTGTAAATGTCTGACATTTTACTTTTGTGGTCTGTACTTTCCTGTGTATGTCGGTCAAAGGAAAATTTCACCCCCTCAAACGATCATTTGAATATCAATCACTCAGCCTGTGTTACGTTCATTAGTGAGGAAAACTTTGTTTTACTTGCATGCCTTGATGGTGAACGAAGAATCCAAAAACTGATTAAAAAAATTGATGAATCAAAGTCAAAGGGGACATTGTTCAACAACAGCAAAACAATATCAAAACGTCCGTTTCTAAACTGTTGCACAACTTTTGAAGTGTAAAGGGGCGATCACACAGAGATGAAACGCTAGAAGCGCGACACCAGTTAAACAATTGTTTTCCTATGATACAGCGCGTCTGACCGGCATTCAAGTGTCTTTTTAGACAGGCGTTTTTCCGGCCTCTTTTTAGATGCGTGTTTTTGTAGCTGAAAAGTTAAAATATTTTCAACTTTTTAAGCGTCAGACACCACTAGTTAGCGCGCATTGAATAAGCGTTTCAAGCGTCTTTGAAGCGACCGCGTCTCTAGCGTCTCATTTCTGTGTGATCACCCCCTAAGTCAAGTCTCATTTATCTAGTTATATGCTCATTACTTCCCAAACACAAAACCCTGATATTCAAAACTAAACTGAAAGTGAATCCAAACCAAGCTTTTCACACAATAACACAAACTAACAGATTGCGGCAGTGGTCGATCTGCAGCTCTCATGTTCTGGCTTTGAGGTTTAGTTTAACTTAGTTTGGGAAGCTCTGAGCCTATGACTGGATAAATGAGATTTCGATTATACTGCACGAGTTGTGTGTGAGTTTGTAAATGAATGTTTTGATGTAGTTTTGCTGTTGTTAAAGGTGGACCTCTGTGACTCCAATTTATCAAGGATTTTCTCTGTTTTTGGATTCTTCGTTCACCGTGGAAGCATGTGAGGAAAAAAATTATGTTATGTTATGTTCCCGAATTCAACTTAACACATAAACAACTGGTTATTTTTGTGATGATGCATTCCTTTAATGTCACTGTCTCTCACTTCTTCCAATCACAGGACGTAACGAGCCTCTGAAGAAAGAGCGTCCCAAGTGGAAGAGCGACTATCCGATGACAGAGGGCCAGCTACGGAGCAAGCGGGACGAGTTCTGGGACACGGCGCCGGCCTTCGAGGGCCGTAAGGAGATCTGGGACGCCTTGAAAGCTGCAGCCGTGGCCTTGGAGTGCAACGACCACGAGCTGGCCCAGGCAATAGTGGATGGAGCCAGTATCACACTGCCACATGGTGAGGACAGAAAACACATAAATCACAAAACCACCCTAGTTCTTACTCGTCAAAAAAAATACTCTCGCATACAAAGTCAGTAGAACAACATATCCTGTTCTCTCCAACACCCCTCTCCAGGTACTCTTGCGGAGTGTTACGATGAACTCGGGAACCGCTACCAGCTGCCCGTCTACTGCCTTGCTCCACCTGTCAACCTCATCTCAGAGCGCAATGACGACGACCCAGGCGATAGCCCCGAACCTCCTGTAGCACCCAAGAAGGAGTTCCAGCTCAAGGTACTGTCACAAGCACAGCTCCTAAAACACTTACATGGTTGTTTTTCACATTTTATTGGGAGTTGAGTGTCTCATCTTTGTATTATCTTTGTTCACACCTCCAACAAATGCAGCATACATATTGAAGTGATCATCAACATGTTTATCAAAGATAACTTGCTAATCGAACAATCCAAAGTCCTGTAGCCCTTAGTTACTGGTGCTAGGTCAGACAAGCTTGACAAAAAGAAACATGGCGATGCTCTAACATGTGTCTCACAGTACTGTTCTTCATCATAACATGTATTTACATGAGTTTTTGGGCTGGATCACAACAGGGACAGCTCATGCCAGCTCTGTAAAGCGAAAGTCAAAGCGAATCAAGGTCCAACTGGGTATATGCCAGCCACTTCCTGTTTGAAATTAAAAGTCCTCATTTCAAATTTCAGCCCTGTAGCAATTCATACACGGGCCAGCCATATACTAGGTTTTGACCAAGTCTTGATTTTTTTATTATTATCATTTTTTAAAATGTGGGTTTCAACAAGCCTAACAAGTTCTGTCATGTCATCCATCTCATCATCTCTCAAGATTTTGCTCTTCTGATTTGATTTGAGCTTGAGCTTCCTACAAATGGGTCTCCCTGTTGAGAAGTGAGATGAACTTCCTGTGCCTAAAATGCAGTGGAAACGTTCTTTCATAATCACAACCTAACACAACCTCCATAGTTTTTGACCTGGAAAGAGGCAGAAATGAGGCGAGGAGAAAACCAAAAAACCTAATAAAAACAACTCCTAATCACCAAGATGCTGATTTACCTGGAACTAATATTACCACACAACCTGTGTTTGGTGAAATATGGGAGGTAATCGGCTATGAAATTTGTACTTGGCAAATTACAAAGATGGCAGATTCGCACAGGGTTAAGATCACAGACCACCTTCACAATTCTTACAAATTACTAGATGTTCCCAGGTAATACTAGTCCTGTGTGGACAAGGCTTTAGTTTATCCTTGAAAGACAAATTTTACGCGTCTGTCTCTTGATCGGTGTTAATTTTCATACTTCCTGTTTGCCGTAGGTACGACTTTCCACAGGCACAGACCTGCGCCTCAGCGCCAGCATGGCTGACACCATAGGGCTACTAAAAAAGCAGCTGCAGGCCCAGGAGGACATTGACGCCGCCCACCAGCGCTGGTTCTTCTCCGGGAAGCTGCTCACGGACAAGACGCGACTGCAGGACACTAAGATCCAGAAGGACTTTGTCATCCAGGTCATTGTCAACCCGCAGGCCCTCCGAGGCCCCAAGCTGTCACCCACCAACACTGCCTCATTGCCTGCATCTGAATAACGGAGGACACAGAGGACAGATGGAGGGATGGTGCAGTAGGTAGTGAGGTGGTTGGCAGACACTTCAGGACCAGAGGTGCCTCCCTATTGCTGGATAACTTATACTTTTTAAGAAAAGTTATTGTTATTGAAATAAAATCATACTGTGGAGGTACAAAACTACTTTGGAGCAAAAACACGAGGAAGAAACTCAAAAGTGCTGCTTTCTGTCATCTGCCACGTGTCATTATAGTTTGGGGTTCTGCTGGGTTGTTCTTTAAGTGAATCCAGTCACCACACTAATGCTGGAGCTCCTCGTCCCCTTGTCTCTTTGAACCATCTCGAATTAAAAGCAGAACTCGTCATGCTGGTGTGCAGCCATTTCAACCACATACAAAACATGCACATCACGCTGCACATGCAGACTCCGCCTCTGCCCTTTTATCTGCATTAATGCTAACTAAGTGCCAACAGATGAACTGCAGAGGTGTTTGTGTTGGTTCTAAAGCACATTTCCACTATGACGCCCATGGACTCTGCGCTGCAATCCTTTCCTCCTCCACAGAAACAGGAGGGGAAGGCGGAGAGGGAGATTCTGAACTTCTTTTTTCCTTCTTTCTTTTATTGAGGAAATAATGTAAACAGAGCTTTTTTGCACATTTGAAGATTATAACTATACTTTTGTGGTAGTTTGTGTGCCTTCTACAAAATGAAACAAAAAAGGGTTAATGTCCGGAAAGACACTAGTGTTACCGCTAGGCAAAGCCTTCTGTATTTTTTTAGATTCAGGAACTCTTAGATCAATCCAAGCTATAACTGCTGCCTTTTTTAATGATTTCAAGAATATTGCAAACAAAACATTTAATGTGTGAGTGCTGGCAGGTGTGTGCGTGTGCGTGTGTGTGAGCGTATGTATGTATAGGTATATGCATTTGGCCCATATGATACATTTCAGTACCACTTAGCTCAAAGACAAGACTGTTTCCCTGGTCGTAGCTTTTCAGTCAATCATATCAAATTGTGCAGGGAGGGCAAAATTCCCCCACAAAAAAATACGATCTTAAAAGCTGCATTATTGACCACTTAATGACCACCAGACCACTAGGGGGCAACAACACAGCCCTGATGTAGTCAGTTCAGTTGCTTAGGGCTTGTTGTCCCTTTTCTCACCACATGATGAAAGTAAAATCAGTATTCATTCATCCTCATCAACTTGATGTGGTCCTCAAAGAAAAGTATCTGTCACATTTGTTCGCTCAGTGTTTGACTTTCTTCACCAGCATATAAACGGCTTGTGTGAGCCTGTTTGCCAGAAATGCCTGCCTACATGTTTTGGACATAGTCTGTGTAAAGAAAGTGGACGTAGCTGCCGGGTCTGAAAAGCAAGCCAGTGTGGAAGTTCCTTAACCCTGCATTTTTTCTAATGGCCAGGAGGGGGTGACTCTACTGCTTGCAGAGAGAAGTATAATTGTATAGAAGTCAATGTGAAAACGACCCTACTTCTAACTTGATTTATTACCTCCGTAAACATCTTCCCTAAGAGTTTATGGTCACAGTCACTAGTTTCAAGTCTTCTTCAATACAGTACGATGTTCATTTTGTAAATAATATTCTCATTTAATTAAACAAGGTACGCTTACTATCTTGTGATTGACGGGTCACTACCATGGCTATCTGTCCATCAAGAGAGGTGTAGCCATGCGTATCCATCAGATCCACTCTCTTGTCCAAATATGATCACTTATGGCTCCAAAAAAAAACAGCTAAAATGCTAAACTCGGCTTCACAATGGTCGTCCACAAACCAATGGGTGACGTCCCAGTTGCTACTTCCACTTCTGTTACACTGTCTATGTTTTTTTGTTTGGGATTGGTGAGAACCATCAGGAGTCTATGTGGAGCGGTGAATCAAAACAATGAGCTGAGGGCCACAAAGAGCGTTAGCATCAGGTGTTGATTCTCAGTGGAACCGGCAGTGCTAACAACTCGCATAGGAAGTTATTTATTTTAGTGTTTTATTAAGAAATATCACATAAAGGGACAGTCCACAGATTTAGACATGATTTGATTTGACATTAAAAGCAGATGTTGGACGAGTGACGGTCATCAATTTCATATAATTTTTCATTTCACTTATGTTACCTCTCAGTTGACAGCATCCTGTTAGCACCATACACCTGCATCAACGTTAGACTTTTTGTTGTGTCTGGAGGGCAAAGGGAGGGACACTGTTTTAAATATTTTGTGACTATCAACTGTTTGTTTGCTTGAGCAGAAACGTTGCTTAAATAAAATAAAAGATAAATATGTACCTCTTAAAAGTCAGGTAACACAGTCAGTGTTTGAAAAAGCCATTTTATCAGTACTTGCCTTTAACATGTATGTACAAGTACAGCCTCAGTGATTCTGACTGGTCATCATTGTGCAGCAAAAGATTATTGTTTTGGATTGTTCTTCCAGCTTTGTCACTAACCACATTGGCTGCCGGAGAACAGAAACAAATCAGCCACAGACAAAATTGCCTTGAATCATATACTGGCAGCTGATGGCTGAAGCTCCCATCAGGCCTGACAGTCTGATTGGTAAAACACATGTACACAAGGTGGCTACATTCACACTGCAGCTCAACTTGCACAGCTGAGATATTCCCCCCTCACATGTGACATATCAGATTTTTGTCTGAGCGCTGTGAACATCGAAAGCTGCATTTAGTTTCTTGCTCCCAGATCATATGGACATGTAAGAAATTATATCTGGCAGCATGCAGACGTTTCTCTGAACTCTGAATTCACCTTGAGCCTGAGACATTTATGATATGTTTGACTACACTGCAGCTTCTTTGAGCAGTGTGTTAGAACGTAAAGAAACATGACCCAACCCAGGAAGCTGATTGTTTTGCTGTTTCACATTTCTAGTGTGTCATTTTAAAGGTCCAGTGTGTAGGATTGAGGGGCAACTATTGGCAGAAATGGTATATAATCTTATTAACTATGTTTTCATGAATTTATAATAATCTGAAACTAGTTATCATTCTGTTTTTGTTACCTTGGAATGTGCGATTTCTTTCTACATAAGGAGCGGGTCCTCTTCCATGGAGGCTGCCATGTTATTTCTACAGTTGCCCAGAACAGACAAACCATTTATGTTTTGATGTTGGCCACCATAGTTCTCCTACACGCTTGGCTCGTGGGCGACATTTCAGTCGGTAGCAATGTTGCAACCTAAATACTAAATGTCATTAAATCCTACACCCAAGACCTTTTAAGTTTTGAAATATCAAAGATTTTAAGGGGTTCACAGATCCAGATAGAAAATTCAAGTGTCCAGGGTTTTGAGTTGCTTATCTGAACTTCTCTTTATAGGATCACATTATTAGGGCTGTGGAGCGATTTTTTTTTTTTTTTTTTTTTTTTTTTAAAAAAAGGATCTAATTCATTACATGCTCTGTGATTAATCTAAAATTGCATTACATCATTTTTTGCTGTCAGAGTATTTAAAAAAAATGTCAGTTCAATTTAATTCCAACGGATGTGTTGTGGTAAAGCTGCTGGATTTTAGACACAATTGTCTCCCTGTCCTCTACAACCAAAACTGGTTTGCAGTCCATTGCAATCCATTTTGCAAGTTAGTCGGTCACAGGTAGACTTGCTGAGATTGCGTGTGAACGCCTGGTCGAGTGTGGCTTGCCGAGGCTGACGGCTAGCGCTAGCATCAGAGGCTATGCTAGTTCAAACCTCCAGGTTCGCTGCTAAATGCTTTGCTAAGAAGTGATATTTCAGGCTTTAAGTACTCCAATGTTAAGATAATTCCTTACTGCAGAAATTGCAGTGGTGCTCCTATCAACAGTTCCATCGGGGCGTTTTTTAAATGTAAGTGTTCATTCACGGGGCCAAGCAACGTTGTCTTGTCTGCCTCCATCATGTGACACCGCTACTGTGGCCTTCAATGACGCACCAGATCAAAGGGCATCATTTTTTCTGTGATGAATTAAATTGAAATTAACAAGTTATTTTTGACAGCCCTGGTTATTATCACTGGAAGGAAGAAGTTCATTTCGCATCTTTAATTTAGGTGCCTTAATTTATAACAACTTGAGAGACTTTACTTTTGGCTTAATGACTGAATTTGAGAGTTATGTTTTTTGAAATATGGGACGCTTGGAATTTCTATCTATTTGTGAACCTTTAAAAAAAACACAGACAACAAAAGTTCAAGTTTATGAAATTGCAAAACTAACACAAATGTTGCCCACAATACATTTCAAAGAGAGAAATTCAGCCCACATGTATCCTATCCCAGAGACTAGAGATGCAAAGATACAAAAATCTCGTCTTTGCATGACTGTCGCTTCCAGGTCATGTTCAGGTCAGATTTGGGTTACATCCCAGAATAGATATTCAGGCACTTCAGGGCTGGGAATCACGACCTGCTTTGTGAATGTATCCTGTATTGTGCTCGTCATGGTTGAACGCTCACAGTTAAGTATTTGCTGTTTCTCCCTCCACACACCAATCTGTAGCTGGATGTGCCTTGTTTTCATTCACCGCTCCTGCCACAATATTTTCAAGCAGTTTGATCATGGAGGGGATAAAATGAAACCATCAGAGTGAAACCTAACTGAGCCACAGCTCACCACATGAAGAAAACATTTCATATTATATAAAAATATCATTATTTTGTGTCTTTTCTGTGCAGTTTCAGCCTTGACGCTGATCACAATCACTCTGTCTGTTACTTCCAGGCCTCATTTTGCTGTTCTTGTACCAATGGTTCTTCTGGGGGATATTTCGTAATCATTGTACGCAAACTTGAATAAGCATTTTTCTCTGTATGTGCAATACAATAGACATAGACCTCATATCATTTTTGTTTTGTTCCTCTGACTCCACAGATTTCATACAGCACCAGCTATGAGTATTCAAGAAATGTCAGTCAACAGGTCCAAGCCTGCTACAATCTGACGCCTCGTGTCAGACAATCAGCTGTTTCCATGTTTGTCACTTTGAAATGTATTCGTCTTCTGATGGCCTCTCATCTTTCACAGAGTAAATATCTAAATATTAAAAATGCCTACACAACTTTTCTCTCCCGTTGTCTGTTTAGCATTCTGCCCTGCACGTCTCAGCTGTGAAGGTTAGGTTGCCATTGAGCCTCAGGGTGGAGAAAAGCTCTGTTGACAACTTCATCGATAGCGTCTCCTGTTATAGCGTCCTTGCTGCAGTGAGCTGTGATGGGTGTTTGTCCTCATGTCGCTTTATGTCCCAATGCTTGCTCTGAGTTTCGACTCATTTTAGTAACAAGCAGCGGCCATTGTTTGAATCTATAAAGTGCAACATATCACTTCAGTGTAAAAGGGAATGGATTAAGGAATTTTAAGGTGTCAGTCCCTCCAGAAGAAACCCGCTCCACAAGGTTGTAGCAGTTACTGAAATCAGTTTCTTTCCCACCAGTGATTTAATGTAGAGGTGGTTCCCATCCTGAGGGTCCTAACCCCCACTAGGGGTCGCCAAAGCTTCACAGGGAGAACTCCACCTATATTCAGTATTCCAAAATCTTATTTCCATGACCTAGTAAAGTTTATATTTCATTGTCATATTTGGGAACATGAGATACTCTCTCAAAGGCAGAAACCAGAGAAATAAGTCTCAAACTTGTGACATCATTAACTACAAAGTCTGGAGCTGCTCCATAGACAATAAATGGGAGCCTAATATTGTGGACCCACAGACTGTTTGTTTTCTTTTTTATACGAAAATAATCTTTATTCTCAGCTCTGAAACAGCAAATGTCCCCATATGCTCAGAACATTCCCCTGAGTGCTCTCTACATCTCTCAAAATTCATTGTCTATGGAACAGCTCCAGACTTTTTATACTGGGTGACATCACAGGTTTGAGTTTTAGCACTCTATCCTATGTGCTATATCGTAAGCAACTGGACTTGCTTGAGTTTCCTGAAGACATTTCGCCTCTCAAGCTCTCTCATCCTCTTGGATGAGCGGTGAAACATCTTCAAGAAACTCAAGCAAGTTCAGTTGTCTGTGATATAGCACATAAGATCACCATGACCTGGATGACTGAGAATCTTCACCTACTTTTAGCACTGTAGATTTTGGATTAGGGAGAGACTTGCTCATGCAGGGGTGTAAGAAAATCATTCTTAAAAATATACAGTACACCCATCATTTCATTCATTCCTGTGAAGAAACCTGAATGTAATTGTGTTAATGTCTTGATTATTATTCAAGATATAACCTAAAAAATACTCACAGGATAAGGGCACAGTGAAGACCTGAACACAAGCTATATTCACAGAGCCTTCACGTTGCTGAACAGCTAGCAAAGTACGACTGTAAAACAACCAAAGACCTAATTCAATAAGGAGAGACTTGTTTTTATAGTAGAAAGAATATTTATTAACATGTGCATAAGAATGAAAAATGTGAAAAGTCTTTGGCAATTAGTCCCCATGGAGATGGTATAATTTAAGGAGGGTGATGAATCCATAGTCGAATAAGTCTAATTTAGCTTACGAACATTACCAATAGGTCTCATCAACAACATGTTTTACCATAAAGTGGCTACTCTGTTGTAAAGTATTTATGAATATTTGGTACTTCGCAGCGAAAGTAAACAAATTCCTCCAAGACTTTTCTGGATTTTTGATTCATAGCTAGTTTGGCTAAGGACTCAAGACAAGCCACTGCTCTTGATGTTTGGCAAAATTTAGAGAAAAGGCACCAGGCCATAGACATAGTTGACGAAATGTTAAAACGTTTTTTAAATTTGTTGCTGACAGAGGCTGGAGGTGGAGGTTAGGCAGCAGCTGTCTGCCAGAATCTGCAGGTGGAGGTGGTGGCGGCAGTGCAGGTTGCTGACAGAGGCTGGAGGTGGAGGTTTGGTTGCAGCAGTCTGTCAGAATCTGCAGGTGGAGGCGGCGGCTGCAGGTTGCTGACAGAGGCTGTGGATTTGGCAGAAGCTGTCTGTCAGAATCTGAAGGTGGAGGCAGCTGCAGGTTGCTGGCAGAGGCTGTAGTTGGAGGTTCAGACGCTGCAGGTGGAGCATGGGGCAGCAGTTGGGAGGTCAAAGCTCCTGGCAGAGGGTGGAGGCAGCAGACTGACAGGTGGAGCTAGGTGTGTCATCTTGTTTCACACATTAAATACTTAACTTAAAACTAAAATACTTAACTTAAAACTACAACACCTAACTTAAAACAACAAGACTTAAATTAAAACTACAACACTTAACTTAAAACTAAAACAATTAACTTAAAACTACAAACTTAACTTAAAACTACAAGACTTAACTTAAAACATCAAGACTTAAAACTACAAGTCTTAACTTCAAACTAAAATGCTTAACTTAAAACTACAAGATTTATTTTAAAACAAAAAGACTTAACTTAAAACTACAACACTTAACTTAAAACGGTTCTGAACCTTAAACTACAAACTATTTACAGACGTGAGCTAATGTGAGTTATAAAACACTTAACTTAAAACTACAAGACTTAACTTAAAACAGTTCTGAACCTTAAACTACAAACTATTTACAGATGTGAGCTAATGTGAGTGCTATTCAGGTTGCTGACAAAGGTTGGAGTTGGAGGTTCAGACGCTGCAGGTGGAGCACAGGAGAGCAGTTGGGTGGTCAAAGCTCCTGGCAGAGGGTGGAGACAGGAGACTGACAGGTGGAGGGAGGTGTGTCATCTTGTCACACACATGAAACACTTAACTTTAAACTACAAGACTTAACTTAAAACTAAAATACTTAACTTAAAACTGCAAGACTTAACTTAAAACTGCAAACTTAAAACAACGAACCTTAACTTAAAAGTACAAGATTTAACTTAAAACTAAAAGACTTAACTTAAAACAACAGGACTTAATGTAGAAACTACAACACTTAATGTAGGTTACTGACAGAGGCTGAACTTCATCTACCTCTAGCCTCTGTCAGCAACCTGCAGCCTTTGCCTCCAGCTAGAGATTCAGACTGATACCGTGGATCAAGAAGTAAAGTAACATATATATTAAATAATCTCATTTAGAAATACCAGCTATAACATTAAGGCCACAAACATGTGCATCAATAATAATAATAATAATAATAATAAAAATAATAAGTATAATTCCTAATATAAAATGTGCATGCTATTTTGATGGGCCCCATAGTTTACGCTATTGTGGACACAAGTCTCGTCACATGATCAGAGACTTGACATTGGATAACATCAACATACATATTAGCCAGCAATCATAATTGCATATCTGTGTATCACAAAAAATTCCAAAGAAAATGAGAAATTATTCATTTAATTTAACAATTTAAATAGTTTGTTATGGTTTACTTGGAATAAGCATATTATTTTGTTATGGATGGTATTGACTATTTTACAAAAACACATGATGGAGATGGGTTTGCCTTTTTCAAGGGCATATATAGCAAATGGCACAGTTTTTAATTTAATGAGAGTTCTTTTGTGTCTCTGTGAGGTGCTTTTCTCTTTGAGTTCATTTTGTGGCTTTTTTAGTCATTTTGTGTCTCTTTGAAGCCAATGTATGTCATTTTAGTCATGTTGTGTCTCTCTGAGACAAGTAAGTGTGTCTCTGAGGTAATTTTGTGTCTCTTTGAGGTCGATTTGTGTCTTCTGTGGTTGTTTTGTGACTGATGACCTGTATATTAATGGTTCAAGTGAACAAAATAATCATAAATATTACAAACAACAATAGGACATAACTATAAAAATAACAGTGACAGAGAAGTGTATAGCTGAATATGACATGTTAGAATTTACAATGCATGCAGTTATTACTTGCTGCAAAATAACAACAGAAGGTCTCTCAAGGATGACCTCCATCACTGGTGAGCTCGGTGAACAGTGCTTTGTTTTATCTCCATGGTAACTGATATTCAAGTTTTCAAAGTTTAGGGTGTAACGTTATGAGACTGTAGTATGTCTCGATTGTGTGCAAACTGTGTGCAAAACAACTGAATATCCATCCAATAGTTAATTCAAGTTTTTTACAGTTTGAGGTGAAGTGTATGCTATTATGCTATATATGTCATTACTTTAATATGTAATAAAAAGTGGAAAATAGAATGTAATAAGAGTGTTTATAGGATATATCACTGTCTAAAAAAAAGTGTTGACTTTTCCTGTGCGTCCTTAAAATGGCACTCAGCCATATAAACTCTGAAAACTCCTGATCCAAGATTTTGCTTTCAATTTGCTGTAAAATGGTAAGTTTACCTGTTAGGTTTCTGAAAATTTCACCTGAGGGGGTTACTGGTGATTTACAATGGTCCCCCCAATGTTAAATAGGTGATTACGGCCCTGCATTACAGCGCAGCTGCTCAGAGGTTCAGTCGCAACAAACGGCAGAAATATGTTGACGCTGAAAGTTGCGTTTCACTCATCCATCTCAGAAACCTGGTAAAACTCTCTGTGGGTCAGACTCTGGACCAGAGTCAGGTGCTGGCTCAGCTGGTACAGCCTCTGCTCTGTAGCAATGTCAACCGTGTTGGTGGCCCCGGCAAAGTGGCGGAGGTCTCCATCAAGAGTGAAGCCACCATCCTCCTCCAGGCACCGGGCCGTTTCTCCTCAGACAGATAATAACAGACCAGGCACCAGGATCAAATTCTTGCAGTGGTGGCAACACAACGCTCACACACTGACGGTCTTCATGGCTCTCTGATCTCCTCCACAGTGTCACTAGTCGTGCGTAAAAGCGCAGTGCGCCTTTATTGCAAAGTGCTGGAAGAGGGAGGGAGCGCCCAGCGGAACCCAAAACTCATATTTTTATTTCTATATAATGATTTTTGCAACATTGCTGCTTTCACTCAGTTTCAGAGTCTATACACCACATAACCAGCGTGATATGAGTTTCAGACGATGACAGTCTCGAGCTGACTAGAAAGCGTTTAATGAATACACCTTAATTAATTCACATGATGATATCCTCATCAAGAAGAACCAAAAACCGGCTGAGTTAACCGATTCTCAATAAGGCTGCTGATAGAGAAAAACTGTCCAGGTGAATAGGCCTACAGAAAAGAGCGGAAAACAAAACACACACA